GTCTACATTTAGAAGATTGGTGATGTTTTTGTGACCCAAAACATGCCATAGGAACTTAACTCTTGTTTATATCATTAGCCTATGGCAAAATTGGTTTCATTAGTTACATACTGTTTTGCTTAAACTCACAATCTCCAAGAACCTATCAAAAACGTTAAGTGAGAACTTACTGTTCACTAAGGGAGTGTATTTCAGAGTTAAGCTGAGTTTATTTCTCAAAGTCCTAGTTGTGAACAGTAGATAAGAGCTTTTTATCCCTATTTAAGTCATGAGGAACTTTGATTTAGATAGCGTAAGTGATTTCATGAAGGTCACATAATCACTTAGTGGTGAAGTTTACTACAATTGAGATCTTTCGACAAATCCTGTGTGTACTCTGCTAATATGACTCTCTGCTATTTAAATGCACTCACAGCTTAGACACAGCACATAGAAATATGACAGCATTGTGCTTTTGGCTAACCACAGTTGGTCATAAATGTATTTTGAAGCTTATTCATTGGAGAGACTAAAGTATTTTTTTATTACAACTGATAGATGTATTAGATCCTGAAGATAAACTATAAATTAATATTTCTCTAAAGTGTGTATAAACAACTATTATAAACAACATATGCAAATTACATAGCATGTTGATTCATTCCTTTAAGTCAGAGAAATTTAGTGACTATGAAGATGGCTAAAAGCCGGTGTGCTCATTGAAATGGATGGACACGTCATTTACCTCACATCAAAAATTACATTACATTATTAATTGCTGTATCAGTTATTTTGGAAATCTTCATGTGTACACAAACAACACCATGACATACTTTTCAAATGTGTGTAGTTGTCACAATCCTGGCAGGAAATAGAGCATGATACTGGCAAGAAAAAAGGTAATTGAAGAAAGTTTAATGAAGGGGTAAGGAATATGATGTGGCTCCCTGGAATTCGCGATGGCTGGAAATGATTACTCCTCCTTAGCTTGAAGAAAAGGAAGGGTAGGGAGTAACTACTCAAAGTCAGGGGACTTGGAACTGTAGCAAGGGCCTCTGAGAGGATCTGCAACCTTCAGTAGAAAACCAACAGGGAGTCAGCCAGGGAAACTAATATTCCAACTTCACTCTCCTGCAGGAGATTGCGGCTAGTTGAATTCAACAGGAAACCAGAGAAGAAAGGATCTGCTAATGCAGTTATCAGGAGGCAGCTTCTTGAGGCAAAGAATGAGAAAGAAAAAGAACAGATGTGGAGGAGCAAGTGAAGGACACCCAACACAGGGCTGCATCTGCCTTTATGTGATTTTATCTTACAAATGAAATGATCTTCCACTATAAGTTAATTGTCATCACTCTTACTTTTGGGATATATTTAGAAAGCACAACTAATAGAGTTGACCTTTAAGACAGTAAAGAACAAAATTCACAACAAATAAGTAATTCACACAAAAAGCACTTCTAATCACCCATAAAGTATTTTTAATAGTTTGATGCTTCTTTGGAATAGAGGATGAATACGAAAAATAATACTAAATATTTTACTGGTGGTTCAAATTGAAATGATGTTTCCTTTTCCTTAATTTTTAGCCCTCAGTTATCACATAATTCAAAATTTAATTTTGATTCGTGTTTATCATTTTAACTAGTTTATTTTTTGAAAAAATACTTTGAAAGAATTTGGTATATCAAAATTAATTCGTCAAAAAATAAATTTTACAAAGATGAAAATTATAGAAAAGAAAGAATGGAAAATTGTCCAAGTTTTAGCACAAACAATAAATTAACAAGGATGTAGCCTCTGAAGTGCTAAATTTTAGATTCATTTTTTGATATTTACATAATAAAAAATAAAGAACAAATGAATTTATTGTGTACAAGTTCCTATTCATAAATTAGTGGTAACTAACCCATTGACTTATTTACTGAACTTTCATAATTTCATCCACTCTTCAATATTTTTAAAATTAAGTTAGTAATCAAATGGTAACATGATTTTATCCAGTTTTTCTTCCTCTTTGTATTGTTAATATTATCAAAATAATGATGGCTTTTAGAATATTTTTGCAAAGACTAAAGTAAATTAACATTAACATCAGGGCACAGCTAAATGTTCAATATGCTTATGTATTTAAGTTGAAAGGAAAAATCAGAGAATGAAGTCCTGATTTTAACTGAGAGAATGATTACAAAAGTCCTTTGAAACGTATATTTAAACACTTTTTTCGGAATGGCATTAACATTTAGTAATAAAAAATGACATCTGTCATTTTTTTCTATTCTGCGATAAAAGGGAATTCATAAATTAAGGTAGCTTGGAGTTAAAAACATCAAGATATCCTGTTCTTTCTTTTAAAAAATCATCTTTCATGACTTCTTTCTAAACACAAGGTCAGTAAAGCCAAATTTAACTATGTAGATGACTATGATTATGGAATGATTAAATTTGGTCTTTCTTAAAATAGCTTTTGTAAACTGAGAACTACAACGGTTGTCTGCTTAGAAAAACCAGCTCAAATCCATTCACTCATGAAATATCAAAGAAAATGTTGTTTGATCCTTGCTTCGACAATATACATTATCATACTTTTTTTTAGTGATATTTCACTTTTCACTCATTTATTCACTAAGTAGTATAGGTTGTAGAATGGTAATAATTCAGTCTTTATATGACAAAACAAAATATTTGAGGAAAATATATTTTACATTAAATATATAAGTACTATAGAGTTAAACAAATGAACATTACATTCACATCTAATTCACTTTTGTATTTACAATGCCTTCCACAGAGCAGGCGCTTAGTAAGAACTATTTTTCATCACTTTAATGTTTTTGCTGCTTAAGTTTGTATTCCAAACGAGAAGTACATATTCTTCCCTAAAGTTAGTTACTAGGCAAATAATTGTTCCCTGGCCATTCTGAACCATATTCTCACAGCTTCTCAATATGCCCCCTCCCTTCCCCAGAAGTATCAGGCACCATGATTAAAGCCCAGGGCATTCTAGGAAATTTTAAAACTACTTAAAATATTATACGGACATAAAAAAGAATGATATCATGCCCTTCGCAGGGATGGATGGAGCTGGAGGCCATTATCCTTAGCCAACTAACACAAGAAAACCAAATACCGTATGTTCTAATGTATAACTGGGAGCTAAATGATGAAAACACACGGACACATAGAGGGGAACAATACACATGGGGGCCTTTCAGAGGATAGAAGGTGGGAGGAGGAAGAAGATCAGGAAAACTAACTAATGGGTACTAGGCTTAGTACCTGAGTGATGAAACAATCTATATAACAAACCTCCACCACACAAGTTTACCTATGTAACAAACTTGTACTTGTACCCCTGAACTTAAAGTAAAGGTTAAAAAACAGATACTATTATTGCTTAGAATGTTACAGTATGTCAAAATCTGAGATGACGCTTACTCCATGAACTAATAGATTGTCAGGTAATATAAAAAGCAATTTTCTTATTTATTTTTATTTATAGGCCTCTCTTATATCACTATAAATGCTTCTAGAGAGGCGTGCAGGATTGAAGTGTGGGTTATTAGTCAATAAACCTTCCCTGGATCCAGGGGAAGATGCCCTCAAGAGTAGCATTTAGGAGAGATGCCCTCAAGAGTAGCATTACGTAACTACTATTTCATACAATTACATTCTTAGAAATATTAGTTCCAAAGATGTTTAATGGAATACATAATTTTGAGATTAGAAACAATTTTGAGAACCAGAAAATCTTTGGTGTTTTTCTTGTTAATCAACCCAATCCCCAATTCCAGCTAAATCCTCATTTTCAAATTATACAAGAACATAAACTCTAGAGCCATTCGTTTTTACTAATATTGTTTGTGGCAAACAGCAAGGCATGAATCAAGCCACCACCAGCATTTTCCACTGAAAGCTTGGAGACCCCAGACTTGCTTTCCCACTCTTTTTTCACTCTTTTCTTTCTCTCTCCTCTATTCCATTTACCTTTCTGCCTTGCTCTTTCTCTTCTGCCTTCTCACATAACCCACCAGAAACCTCACAGGAAGAGAAACAGTCTACATAGCCCACATTAGTGTTCTAGGCGGTAGCAAATTATGTTAATGAAAGATCACACATCTTTCATGCTCTGCTAGGTTATAGTAACTGAGTCCTGGCTAGAGAGAGCAGAATCCACTTCTAGTATGAAGCTCCAAAAGACACAGGTGGTAAACACAAGTTAACCCTTTGTAACCCCACCATTTTCAACATGCAAAGGACCTCTCTCAATCTTCTAAAATAAAGTACAAAATCCCATGCATTGAACTAACAACATCACGCTGCTACATAGGACTTGAATATCTCCCATAACTTTATGACTGGAAAAACACTGTTCAGATTTCATTTACCGGTTTAAAAATAGCAAAGTCTAATTTGAAACACATACACACACAATTGTGCACCCTCACTAATATTCTCTCTTAGTACCAGGTAAATGTTTCTTCCTATAAACATAACAAAGATTTAGTACAATCATAGGCTTTAAAAGTCAGATTAGTCAGAAGATGTTTGTTATCCAACATATCAAAAATATTCCTTAGAACCACAATGAATGCCACAATCTGTTCGGTACTACAGTGGCTATTTATCTATTTCTTAATTTATAAATCAATATTATTTGGTGTTTATTTTGACTTGAAGATTATCCATACATTATTATATCCCTGCCCAATGAAATTTCTTGTTGAGTGAGTAGGTGTTAACAAGGCAAATCATATATTTTAAACATCTTAAAATGGTATGATAATTTTTTTAAATGGGAGGACTATTTTCAAACGTTTTCACTTTGGAGATCCAGATATCAACGAAAAAAGAAATTTAGAAAACATGCCCACAGACCACTTTAAGTCCACAGAAAGTCCACAATAATATCACTGTGCTCACTAAACAAGGAGGAATTGTTCTTTGTACACAGCTGAAACATTCATAATACACAAGGCACTTCAATTAAGTTTTGACAGAAGTTATGTCACATTTAAACTCACCGCTGGATGTAAGGGTCAGGGCAGTACTGTAGGGTGGCACACCGTGAAGTTTCAAAATTCATTTCCTTCAACTGTCTTTGATATCAACAAATGGAGAACAATTATATAAAATCTACACATATACCTGTGTATATATAAGATATAAAGCCGGGAGGCTAAAAGCAATAGGGTCAAATGCTATCAGACATAGAAGCTTAGGCACTTCCCCGCTTCACACATAATTGCAAAGAGGCGGAGTGTTTCTTGATTTTAGCCAATGAGATTCATCAAGTGACTAAAACATCATAAACAGTCGATTCTTACCAGCTGGGCATCCTCTCTAATGTTGTTCTTCCCCTCTCTCACGGCTTCAGAGTCCTTGACGTATAGTAGCCACACTTGTTGTTGGCAATTTGGAGCTGGAGGCATCTCTGAACTTCTGATCTCTGTCGTGATTGGATGCTGGCATGAATGGCATCAGAGTTTAATTTCAGCAGCCTGGACTTTTGTAACTGAACTGAGCTGATGAGTGTCCACCCTGCTCCAGCTACATATCACTTCCTTGTATCTGGATACCGATTTGATCTGAGGATTTCTGTGGCTATTTCTGGGGCTAAAATGTTTGTAGAGCTGCTTGGGGAAGTTTTGTTTTGTTTTTCTGTTTTTTGTTTTTTCATCTCTTTCCCTCCCTCCCCCGCCCTTCAGTTTCCCTTTCAGCCAACCGCCTGTTGTGGTCACAATCTCAAATAGCAAAGACAGGGAAATTCCTTGATTATATTTAACTTAGAACTCACTCTTCCTCTCAGCTAAGAGAAAGAGATATCCCATTCACATCCCCTTAGAAGTTTTTCCTGACCCGAATGAAAGAAAATAACCTTAATTGAGTTAAATATCCTACCTCAATCAAATGCACTTACATATAATACAGCAATTTTCTTATATTAAAATGGGAAATAATATATTATTCTAGAATATTTTGAAGTGCACACATTATTTCAAATCGCCTGCTAATAAAAATATTCTAGTTTATTTTCATGTCTGTCAGTCTGCTCCACTCTCTTCTTTATGTCTTACAGTTTTTGCCGTTTTTGGTTTTGCTTTGACTTGACCTCCTTCGAAAGGAAACCATAAAATTGTTCGTACAGTCACAAATCAGTATAATATCAGGAAAACCTACATACAAAATAATTTATTTCCTTTCTGAATATGGGCTGTAAACTTATCCTGGTTTTGTGAATTTGGAAATTGAATGAAATATGATTCAGAAGCTAAATTAGGAAAGACTCCAACAAGAAAAAAAAAAAAAAACATTCTTTGTGTCCAATGGTCACTAACATCGAGTTCACATCTTCCATTCACCCCCTAATCAGAGGACACCTGTCAACAGGTGGCATCAATAGATGGCAAAGTTGTGAGGCAATCTAAAGCCCTTTTCAGAAAGATTTGACATTTCCCTGTGAGTAAATCTGATTCAAAATGTGTTTCATAAAAATATTTTATTTGTTGCTTCAGCCAGGATGGAAGGGAGAAGCTATTTAAAACTTGACATTCTCTTCCTTTGCTTAGCCCGAGAGTGGCTAACATCTGTGAATTGTGAAATTCACAAACAGGCTGGCCTGAGCCCCAGCCAAATCAAACAGCTTGCTCCACAAAATGTGAAACTTAAAGGGAAGAAGATTATTTTACTAATTAATTATAGATTTGTTAATTGGAGTTAAAGAGGTTGGCTTTCTTCCCTGATGTTAGCAAATACAGATGACCTAAATATAATATTCTAAAATTAAAAATAATCAATTTCCTGTGACCGCAGCCAAGTGATTCCATTTATAACGAAAGGTGGAGTGACGATTTCCAGTGCCGAGCTTCTCAAGTTTTAATGTGCTTGTGAGGCACCTGGAAATCTTGTTAATGCATATTTTGATTCAGTAGGTCTGGGGTGAGGCCTGAGATTGCATTTCTAACATGTTCCCAGGTTACTTGATTCTGCTGGTCCTTGGACCACCCTTTGGGGTGGCGAGCCCTAGCGTTCTTTCCAGGTCTGATATTTACAATTTGATGTCTCCAGGAAATGAGGAAGAACTCTTCTAAATATTTTAAATCAACTTCCGGGGATATAGACTCCCAAATAATCAATTCGCAAACATTTCTAGTGTGTTGTGTTTTTAAAATTTATTTTTTATTTTCTAAAAGTTATTACTTATGTATTAATTATTTTTAAGACAGTTTCTTGCACTGTCATCCAGACTGAATGCAGTGGCATGATCATGGATCACTGCATCCTCAACTTCTCGCGCTCAAGTCATCCTTCTGCTTCAGCTCCCTGTGTAGCTTGGACTATAGGTGAGCATTACCATACCAAGGTAATTTTGTTTTGTTTTAGATATGGGGTCTTTCTGTGTTGCCCCAGCTGGTCTCAAACTCCTGGACTCAAGCTGTCCTCCTGTCGTGGCTTCCCAAAGTGTTGGGATTACAGGTGTGAGCCACGGAATTCAGCTATTAAAAAAAAATTTTTTTAAAGGTTTATAGGCTAGTATTTTTAAAATATCATTTAAAGGTTTGCCACGATTTCAATAGTTGTTATTTAAAAATCCTAAATTTACTAAGCTAAGAGGGACAGAAATTAAATGGCAACAAATTTAAATAAGTGATTATGAAGAAGATTGGTTTATCTTGCAATATGGAAATAAATTGAGAGTCACCTTGACCGTGGAAAGAAGGCAAACTCTTTAAAATTCAAGAGACACGAATAGCACACAACCATACATGATCGAGTGAAAAATAAGTGACAATTATAATTACCATAATTGCCTCTTATATTTATATTTCATCCTTCTTCTCTTAGGGGACTCAGGTTACTATACAAATGTATAAATTATATCTTTGGTGTTCAAGACAGAAGCTTTCTCAGGACAGAGATTATAATATAATAATGTACATAGAAGTCGAGGAAAAGTAATTGCCTTTCCGACCATGACCTGCCTATTTAAATGATGTCTGTGAAGACTTTAGGTTTGTATGGAAGGCAGAAGTAAGTTCTTAGGGAAGGAAATGTGTTTCGGGCTTGTATCACTGAGCATAATGTAGGCAAAAGGGACACTTTGTTCTTCTCAAATTTTAGTAGCCAAGAATATGCACTCTGCCAAACTCAGGTGTCTATGGCACAAACTATTCTCAACTTACACCTGTGAAAATTATTTTACAACTGCTCCCCTTCGTGCTCTTTCCTCTAGGTTGCATAATTTTTCTGGTTGTTCCTGTGCCTTGGATCATATTTTGCCCTCCACCAGGAACGTTTCTAAACCTCATCTGTGCATATTCACATCTTGTTTATCCTTCAAATTCTCCTTCTTTATTCCACATAAAAGAAACCTTCCCCTGTTCTCCTAAATAATTATATCTGCACCTTTTTTTGTGTAAGGGTACCTATAACTTTCTTCCTGGATTCTAGTTATTTTTGAATAAGACTCATCTCCTGTGCTGGACTTGAACAGCTTAAGGGCAGGCTTGCTATTCTAATTCATCCCTGTGTTTTTAGGGACTAGCAAAAATATTGCACAATGAATGAATAACATGTTTATATATTTGCAAAAATCATCTCATAGTAAGTATTGCAACTGATTAAAAATAATTTCCACAAAACACTTGACTTCTTAGAGTTACCTTATTGAGATATAATTTACATACAACAATGAAATTCTCCAATTCCAAGTGTTCAGTTTGAGGAGATGACACATTATATGCCATGTAGCCTCCATTGCAATCAAGATTCCAATACTTCCATTATCCCAATACTTTCCTCATACCACTTTGCAATCAATCCCTCACCACCAGCTTTAGGCAATCGCTGACTTGCTTTTTGTTATTATACATTATATGTATATCTTTTAGAGCATTGTTTTCCAATAGAACTTTCTGTTATAAAGGAAATATTCTATATTTACACCATCTGATGTGGTAACCATTAGCTACATGTGACTTACGCTACTGAAGAGCTAAATTTTGATTCTGAATTAATTTTAATCAACTAAAATTTAAATAGCCATGTGAGGCTATTGGCTACTATGATGGACAATGCAATGCTAGAATATCACATAAATGCAGGCGCATGATATGTATTCTTCTCTGTCTAGATTATTTTTGCTCTTTGATGCCATCGCTTCTGAAATGCATTCATGCTGTCAACTGTATCAGTAATTCATTCTTATTATAGCTGTTGAATATGTGGATTGTTCTTTTATGTTTGTTTGTTTAGCTATTAAGAATGAATTCGGGTCTCAGATACACAATTATTGCCAGAAGTCCAATAAACTTTTTAAGAGCTCAATCATCACATACCCCAGAACTTGTTTTTGGTCCTCCTGAGGTCTTTGGCAAAATAGTAGCTTCTTCCTTCCAAGACTGATGTAACTATGAAGGAGAAAGCAAATGTAGCATAAAGCAGTTGGCTAACCTGGGTTTTGTATGAGCTCTAGTACTAATTTATTCCCAGACCTTAGGCAAGTAGCCTACTCTCTTTGGGTATCTTTGAACCTTAGATACTTTATTTTTAAAGGGGAAGGATGTATCAATTATACCCAATTCTATTGGGTGTAAACAATTGAAGCTGATTCTGCCTACATAAGCCAAAACACACACACACACACACACACACACACACACACACACACACACAAACAAAACATGAAAATATATGAAAAGACAAATGAAAATCCACAGACTATAAGATATAGAAAGAAAAAAAAAAACACCCAACAGATCTCAGAAAAGACTACAACCAGGATAAATTCAGGGATCTAAGTGATAACAATGAATAGAGAGTCACTTCATAAAGCCACTGGAGGCATAAGTCAGATGCAACAGCTCTTTTGAACTTGAGTCATTCAGTTTAAGATTAAATTCCCAAAAGAAAGATGCCATGTTTGGCCAGGAGAGGTCTGATCACTTTGAATGATAGCCCTACAATGACTGAGCAGAGAGTTTTCAGAAGAAAATAAAGGTTCTGTTAACCAAGGAAAGAGCAATAGGTACAGGGCAGTGGAAAACAACAGATGCCACCACAAGAGCTTAAAGCAGATGATCGTGCATGTTCCCTAGAGCTCTGGCAGCCTGTGACTATGAGATCAGAGAAACTGAATTCCTTTGTGTCAGGGTAACTGAACCTCAGGCCTTAGCTTTTCCAGGTCATCCTGCATTTGCAGTGTGGAGACCAGGAAATAACCTTCAAGCATAGGAGGCAGTGGAGTAAATTCACCAACTATCACTCAAATTGAAGAGACAGAGTTTGGTGAGTTTTAATTTTATGACACTTTTCTGTACATAGCTTCAGCTCAACCACACAATCTCTATTTTAGTAAAGTGGAAACCAAAGTTCTGTCACTGGGAGGATCCTGCTAACTCCTCCAGCTTTGGACCTAATATTTGCTACAGTCTGACATTGATTAGGAGTCAAGCTGGACCTAGAATTTTAGTAACTTCAATAGTATTCAAATGACTTTAATTCAACGAAAAAGCAAGTGCATTGCAGCCTTAGCCATGTGCTTCTTCTGATTTGACCTCCATCTCTGTTCATCTCACTGAAATTCATCAAATATAAATATTTATAGTTAAGTTAATGTCTTGGAGTCTACTG